AAAGTTAAAAAATGCTGCTTAAAACTTTGGTTTTAAGATTTACCTTGGAACTTTAAAAATAAAGTTATTAGCTTTGCAGGTCAACACATTCAAACTCAACGTATCTGAGCTAGCTCATGAGATAGTAACACAAAATCATGCCGTCAACCTTAAAATCTGGGTGAATCATTCTAATGCAGATGACCACTAACTGATCTCAGGAGGTTATATGAGACTAATAAAATAAGTTAGAATGTGGAAGGCCTCAGAAGAGCATTAGCTATTCTTATTATCATTATTATTACTATTACCAAAAAGATCATAGCATATATTCCTTAACCAAATGTTATTATGCATTTTTACATTTTCTACAGGGAGGCTTACTTTTCCAGGTTGAGCAATTATTAAAAACTAGCTTCCTAATTTTGTTAGTAACCACTAAATAAATTTACTCAAATTACAGAATTTTAAAAATTTCAGCTCTCTCTAAATAAAGATCTAATCTGTAAAAAAACAAAAAAATAGGTTTTACCTTCTCCTGTCACAGGAGAAGGTATGAGTAACACTTTACTGGGCCTCTCACTTTCATAAAGAAAAACAAAATCTCTGGGAATTTATATAATTTTTAAGACCAAAGATAAAGTGGTATGTTATTATAATTCTTTATCTCAGTCTTTGATATCTTACATAGAAGTCAGATGCACACATGCTGAGCAGGTAGAAAAACATTTCCTCAACTCTCAATGATCTCAGGTCTTCCATATGAAGTAAAAATCATTATTATTTTAAAAAGTAATAGCTGTATTAATATGAGTGGCAGTAGAGATTTTAATGCTCACAAATTTCTGAGTATAAAAAGTATCTTTACTGTAATTCCAACACTTTGGGAGGCCAAGGTGAGCAGATAACCTGAGGTCAGGAGTTCAAAACCAGCCTGGCCAACATGGTGAGACCCTGTCTCTACTAAAAATACAAAAAATTAGCTGGGCATGGTGGTGGACACCTGTAATCCCAGCTACTCAGGAGGCTGAGGCAGGAGAATTGCTTGAACCCTGTAGGCGGAGGTTGCAGTGAGTCAAGATTGTGCCACTGTACTCCAACCTGGTGACAGAGGGAGAGTCTGTCAAAAAAAAAAAAAAAAAAAAGTATCTTTAAGTAACAGCCATTCATTAAATCCTGATAAGGACATAGACTTATTCATCTAATTGTTGCCCCAGAAACAGAAGGCTTGATTTGTTGTTGTTTTTTGTTATTCTAGCAATATAAACTAGATAGTTTCATACCAATTGAGGTGAATTTTGAATCTCAGACTTTAGAAGAAAGCTTGACATATTACTGAATTCTTATAGGTTAGGCTATAATCCCAAGAAAGCAACTACTTATCAATAATGTTCTCCAATTTCTGCTGTTGTGATTACTTCGGATAAATTGTGAAGTTTACTAAGACACTATACGGTTTGCTAATATCCAGAGATAAAACAATAAAACAACACATTTTTGGGACACAGTATTTTCTTACTGCTCTGCCCAAGGGAGAGAATATAGTCATGGGTTTTTAGTTTCTCTTTCTGGTTGAGCAAGTCAAGTCCTTTCCTCATTCCTCCTTTCCACTTATCACTAGAGATAGAAACTAAACATCATGGGGCTTCAGGCTGTTAAAAGCCTAAATCAACACAAAACAGAACAACAACAAAATAAGGTGAGTTGGACAAACATACTTAAGACTTGACTTTTACTTTGTGAAAATCATATATATTTTATCCAAAATCAACTGATACATAGATGGTAAAGGCCAAAATAAAAGCCCCAATTTCCAAATTGCCAGACAAAGCAAGACCCAGCCAATATATTCTCTTTCTGCTGGTCTGCCTTCACTTCAAAGTTCAGGAGGTAATGCATACACACAGATTTACCAACTATAGGAATATCACTCATGCTTGCAACATAATTGCCATGTAATATATTGTTTTAAAGGACCAAGTCCTCTTTGAAAAGGATGGCCAGCGTTAACATAGATGCCACTGGAATGATTTTGAAAAATAGTTTGTACAAACTTTTTATTGCAGTCTAACCAAAGAAAAGTTATACAATGAAAACAAGACCATGTAAGAGTCTACTTAATCTCCCCTTCCATGAACAGTCCCTTCGTGGAAGCTGTTTTTCCTAGATTTCCCCTCTGAAGTCCCCTTTCACACTCTCCTGTGGAAGCCTGTCTTCCCCTCCTAAACTCTATCTCTCTCTATTCCCTTCCACTCTGTGGAAGCTGCTTTCCTCTCCTGGATTCCATCTTTCTAGATTCTCTCATTCAATGTGAGAATTAGCTGTTTGTTTCTCTCTCCTCCTTTTTCTCTCTAAATAAATCACTTTCTACAAACAAAAAAACAAAAAAGTCCACTTAATCAACTGAATTAACCAGGTCAACTCACGCTTCATTATTGCTTAAGAAGGAAATGGAAATCACCTTGACAACACTAAAATCTTAATCCGGTCTAAATTTATTTTTAAAAGATAAAATATTTTTTGAACAAGATATTTTCTTTCTACAAAGATTGGGCACCCATAAACACAAAACAAAACAAAAACAAAAATATTTTGACGTGAACTTTAAAGGCTTGGAACATAACAATGTGCACAGAAGTTTGTTGCTGTTTTTTCCCCCACTTTTCTTCTAATTGGATGTCTAGCCATCTGCCCCTCCCCCAAAAAAGCCACTGAATTTCTACAAAGTACACTGATTTAATATGGTATAGAAATAAGTATAAAGAAGACAAGAAGACTGGTGTTTATATTTTTAGTGTATTCAGACGCATAATTAGACATTTTACTCAACATTTAAAACTAATCTCTGTAACATTTCATTTTTATAAGTGTGTGAAGTAGCTCAAAGTTATTAAATTTGCTGACTCCTATAAATCAACTCAAATTTTATCAGTAAATTTATAATTTCCCTGAAGTCTGTCTTTATATACAATTATTGGATTTATAGATGAATAAACTAATACAAAAAGTCTAGAAATCGATCTAACATTGTCATTTGACTCTTTGTTTTTTTAAAATCATGGTCTTGCTCTGTCACCCAGGCTGGAATGCAGTGTTGTAATCATGGCTCACTGCAGCTTTGACATCCTGGGCCCAAGAGATACTCTTGCCTCAGCCTCCTGAGGAGCCACAACCCAGGTGCGGGCTACCACAACCAGCTACAAGAATAGGCATTTTTGACCAATGATGCTGAAGCAATGAATGTCAATGAGCAAAAAAGAGAGCCTCTATCCAAACTTTGTATGGCATACAAATATTAACTCAAAATAGTAAACTAAACTCTAAAAATTAAAACTGTAAGTAACTAAATAGAACACTGGAAAAGGTGTGACTTAGGTTGGACTAAAATTTTAGGTGTGACATCAAGAGCATGCTCTATAAATGATAAATTGCACTTCATCTTATTTTACTAGAAACTTCTACTCCACAAAAATGTTGTGAAAAGAATTAAAAGAGAAGCTAGAGGCTTGGAAAATATTTGCAAACTATGTATTAGTAAAGGATTCATATCAAGAATATCTAAAAACTTTCAAAACTCAATAATAGGATACAGAACAACTCAATAGTAAAACAAATAAGCATAGGAAAATACGTTCAACATACTCTGGCACTACAGAAATGCAAATTAAAGGTGCAAGGAGATTTTACTGTACACCTGTTAACAATGTCTAAAATAATAGATTGAGCATACAAAATATTATAGAGGAGGTACAACAACTGTAACACTCCTGCTGATAAAGATGTAAAATGTTGACATGTTTGGGTAATAGTCTGGCAGTTTCTAAAATGAAATGAATATATAGTTTGCATATAACCCAGTAATATCATTCCTTGGTATTTAGCCAAGTGAAATGATAATCCATTTACACAAAAACCTGTAAATGAATATTAATAATGGCTTATTTGTAATCTCCCCAAACTAAAACTATTCAAATGTCCCTTACCTGGGTCATGGATAAACAAACTGGTAAAGATCCATAAAATGAAATAATATTCAGCAATAAAAAGTAAAAACTCTTGATAATACCTACCAATATGAATGAAGTTCACATACTTTATGCTGCATGAAGAAAATCAAGCTCAAACAGCTACATATTGTGTGATTCTAGATATAGGACCTTCTTGCAAAGATAACTCTATAGGGACAGAAACCAGATTAGTAGTTATAACTGCCATGAGGGAAGAGGTGATGGCAGAGGAGCAAGGGAGCATTTTCAAGGATAATATAATTATTTTATGTTTTCATCATGATGGTGGTTACATGAATATATATGTGTTCACCAAAATTCTTAAAATGGTAAAAAGTGTGAATATACCTGATGCAGTTTGGCTGTGCCACTACCCAAATCTCATCTTGAATTGTAATCCTTACAATCTCTACTCTGGCACTTGCTGTATCCCATGCTGCACAAGGGTTCAAAGACCTAAGAGGGAAAGGTGGCGGATGAAGAAAGACACAAACACAAACATAAAGAAAGCTGGGCCAGGGGGTCCAGGAGGTGAAGGATGTCAGTCTCTCCAGCCCCAACCTGTCTCAGTGTCCTTTATTTTATATGTTCACAAAGCAAATAGCAGAGGGAGGGTGCAGTTACTTAGAACAGCCTGTGGTTATTATTTTCATACTTCAGTTAACATACTTCAGCTAACAACTATTTTGCAGCAAGGTCAGTGAAAGCTGGTTATTCTTTTCTAGGCCCATCTGTTTTACTCCAAGACATATGCACCCACCTATTATGGTTTCACTTCTCTGAAGTTCAACCAAAGTTCACAGCAGCCTTGCTGCTGATCCCCCCAGAGGGGGTGGGCTACTCTGGCTCTCTACATTCACGTGTTGTGGGAGGGACCAAGAGGGAGGTAATTGAATCATGGGGGCATTTACTTCGATACAGTTCTTGTGATAGTGAGTGACTTCTTATGAAATCTGATGGTTTTATGAGGGGCTTTCCCTTCACTCAGCACTCATTCTCTCTCCTGCAGCCCTGTGAAGAGGTGCCTTCCACCAAGATTGTAATTTCCCGAGGTCTCCCCAGCCACGTGGAACTGTGAGTCCATTAAACCTCTTTTCTTTATAAATTACTGAATCTTGGGTATTTATTCATAGCAGCATGAGAACGAACAAATACCTAATGCAAATTAAAATCCTAATAATAATAGATGTTTTCACTATAAAAATAAACTCCTACTCTTAAACTAGCTCAAAATCAACTGTAAAACTGAACTTCTAGGTATGGGAGAAACAGGAACTATTAAAAATACAGAGGGGCCCAATCGGTCCACTTCAACTACTTTAGCTTTCTGATGTATTCAGAGTGAACGTGAAAGCAACGAAAAAAGAGAAACTTAAAATATTAAAAGTATGATATCTTTCAAATGTTTATGTTTAATAAAGTAATGCTTTTATCAGCACCAAAAAAAAAAAAAGAAAGAAAACAAATATGGTAAATCCCACAACAACCAATTCTGTGCTTGTTATAGAGAAAAGTCATCTTTATTATTTGTTTTTTTCTTTACATTTTCAGCATAATTTGCTAACGTATTGTTAGATTTTGATACTTTTTATATCTTAAGCAGAGTTAATATCCTTAAAGCAATAAAATTTCATAACAGAAAAGTGAAATTTGATACTCTGTATCATTTCACTTATTTTTGCCATAGCCAAAATATTTTTTTCTCTACAAATATTGGCAATTTTTGTATTGTCTCTTAAGTGAGAAAACTAAATGTAGTCCACTTACCATTTATCGTAAGTTCAGTCAAATTTTATAAGCAGCATTGTATATAACAAAATAGGTTTCATTTTTTGTTAAAAAAAAAAGTAGTTTTCTTTGATATTTTGAGTGATAGTTAAATGATGATCATAAGAGTTCAATTTTTCCACAGTCAGTATCTCAAAATCCAGTGTCCAAAACAGCAAGTCTCCTTGTTAGTATTTACTTGGAATATTTCTGAAATAGCTTTTTGAATAATGATTGAAATTGCTGACTTTTTTGGAATATGGATAACAAAGCTTACATTAGGATATGAAATACTAGTTCTGCCATTTCCTTATTGTCACAAATTCTATAAATAAAATTGTTTTTCACATGATTTCTTGGCAGTATATTTTTATCTGTTGTCCTTTTACTGATGATTACTTCAGTAAAAAACATCAGATGCATTCTATGTCATAATTTATGGCTACACATAATTGAAAAGCATTGAAGTAGTCTCCAAATGAAGAAGTTGATGGTAAAGCTATCAGTGCTACTGTATTGTGAAAATTCTATTCTCCCCTAGAGGTACAGATTTCCATAGAAATTTGTTTTTCTTAGTACTCCATAACCCTTCTAGGGGTATTGCTTTTTTTAATGATGCACAAACAAACATTTATCTGACATTGTTGGTAAGTATATTTTTTAGAGTGATGATCATACTGGGTTTTCTAAAGAACAGTGACATTTTAACCAGCTGCCACTACCCCGTATTCTCTAATGCATATGCATTTTTAATGCATCAACAATTTCAAACAATGTATAGACATTTTAGAAATTCAAACAGGAATCACAACACAAATTTAGAATATATTAAGTATATTTTTAACTATTCAAATAATTATTTTTGTACATTTCCTAGTTTTCTTTGTTATACATTTAAAATGTTCTTATTTATTTATTTATTTATTTTTAAAAACTGCATCTATATAGGGCATGCTGTTCTTTTATGGCTGGGTTAACTTGCATTCAAAGGCTTCATTTTAATTGGATTTAGCTAACCCAAGATCATGTTTTACAGAGATCTAAGTCCCTAAAGTGCTTTTTTACTTTCCACTGGCACCATGCTGTTTCTTGGTATTCTTTAATTCTCTTTGCTTTATGAAACAAATATTAAAGAATTTCATATAAGCCTTTTGAATGGAATCAAAATTTAAACCAATTCCTTGATGTTAATAGCTGCTGTACCAGAAACAGTAACACACTAAGAACATAAGAGGCCTCCAAATGTAAGTCAGTAATTTTTTTTTTTTTTTTGAGTGTTGCTCTGTGGCCCAGACTGGAGTGCAGTGGTGCCATCTGGCTCCACTGCAACCTCCACTTGCCAGGTTAAAGCAATTATCTTGCCTCAGCCTCCCAAGTAGATGGGACTACAGGCACGCACCACGATGCCTGGCTAATTTTTTGTATTTTTAGTAGAGACGGGGTTTCTCCATGCTGGCCAGGCTAGTCTTGAACTCCTGACCTTGTGATCCACCTGCCTCAGCCTCCCAAAGTATTACAGGCATGACTCATTGCACCTGGCCCCAGCAACTTTTTTAGAGTTTAAAATATCCTTTAATTTGCAATTTACCTCATTTTTATTGGTGGCTGCCAATCCAGGATATACTTCTGTAGTTGCCTGAACCTGATTGTCCTGATTTGAAACCAAAATATTAGACAGATACATACATATATACAGATGGATACAGATAATTTTTGCACACTGAAGCACAGCAGAATTCATTGGCACACCACAATAAACATTTGCTTCTTAATCTCTGCTGGTCAACTGAGATTCGGCTGATGCTGCATTTGGCTTGTTAGAGATTGGTTCAAATCTGTGGGTTATAATCACATCTACTCCACATGTCACTTATATCTTTGAATCAGTGGCTTAATAAGACAAGATTTTCTCAAGGTAAGTGGTACATAGGCAAGAGAACAAACCCAGCCATATATGCAATAATGAAGCATTTTCTTATTTGCTATTCATTCCACTGGCCGAAGTAAACCGTATGGCTAGAAAGGAAGAGATCTTTTGGAAAAGTAAATACAAGTATGGAAAGTGTTACAAAAGATATGTAGATAGTAGTACAGAAATAAATAACAGCCTGTTAAATATAGACAAAAAGGTACTATTCTGTGAATGAGGTCTGAGTGTTCAGCAAATATTAGTTGGTTAAGTGAAGTTCAAACATAAAGGATAAAAAGTTATATAGAGATAGGATGAAGAAAGTAGATTACAAGTTGGGGTTGGGGAATAGTTAGCAAGAAGGCAAGGGAAAGAAAGGGCTTGGTATTAACACAATGAGGGTTTGGGGAAACAAAGGACAGGCTGGAGATTCAGGCAATTAGTGTACTATAGGCTATGTTCCAGGCTGTAGTATTAGGATAGTGGAATACATAGATTGTAAACAGAGAAGGGAGATAATCAGAATTGCAATTTTAAAATAAACATTCTACCTACAAAGCAGCAGAAGAAAATCGCTATCTGTTTAGGGAAAGTGTGGAGCAGTTTTAATAGGCTTTTAAAATAGTTGGGTCAAACTGTGTTTGGTAATTTTGACAGGGTGTTAATAGCAAAGATGAAAAATATTGATTTCAGTAATGGGTAATAAAACATGTCTAAGAACACGTAATAGTGTTTATAATATGCCAAACATTGGGCCAAAGCTTTCATTCACTGCTTTTTTAAAATTAATAAAACTCGTATAAAGTAATGAATCTTTCATTCACATTTGTTAGTTGACCACAATACATTTTTGAAGAGATGAAATGAGTTGGGTGAAATTCCTAATGTCAAATCCTATTATCTTTATCATAGTCTATATTGACTCAATTTTTAGAAGTAGGCTTATAAAAACATCTCATAATTGAATACATTTACCTAAAATGGACTTTCTTCAAGCAGCTAGTACCTAATGAGTCTGTATATCCCACCACTGACCCTTTATTAACTTTAGCACGGAATTATTTATCCCATTTATTTCACTCATAACCCTGGGAGATGGTGCTTTAGTTTTTCCAAAGTAGATCTCCAATAATAGCTGCTTTCTTCTCATTGTTTGCTCCTGGAGAGGCCCTTTCATCAATATGGTAAACTCAGATACATGGAAACCACTTAATTGTGTTATATATCTAAGGAGGACTAATATGCCAAATAACTAGAGCAGGAAGCTTCTGTGGAGGAATCACTAACAGAAGTACCTAAAAAAAATACAACGTGAATTTTTTTAAAAAAATAGGATTATAGAAACTGAAGAGAATGTATACTCAAAAGTGAAAACAACTTCCACATTTAAAGATAAAAATCAGATACTGACAAATAAATTAATGCAGATGAAATAAACACTTTAAATTTTGCTTGGTTATCTGAATATTTAATATTTCTTTCAAGGCTTGACATATTTGTGGTAATGGGTCAGTATTATTTTTAACAGGTAACAGGAGTACTCAAATCAGTTGAGTACATAGTTGATAAATGTTGAAATTAGGAAAGATAGAAAACATGTTAAAATTATTTGCAAACAAGTAAAATACATAATTTTTACATTAAGAAGGAAATACATATTTGAAAAGTATTTAAACTATATAAATGTTTCAGCTCCATTATTTTCTCACAAATTATTTTCATATAGTAGAAAATTATCAGACTGGCAGATTTATTTTCTCAAATATGTTTAGTAACCCAAGAACTATTGCATATGATACCTTAGAGATTATATTTTTAAACACTCTATTCTCAACAATAGTGCATGATAACTTTAGTTATTACTAAGTTAGTAATATTGAAATGTTAAGATTTATAAAAGCAGGTGCCATATAAAAGGCATGATTCCTTACCGATTTTCCAAAATTAAATATCTTCTACTTACCCTAGAATGTCTGAAGTAGACAGACATTTATGGATTTCTTTTCAGGCTATTGTATATCTTTTGCATGTGTAATAAATTTGTCTTAGAGTTTTGGGCTGAATGTTTGTGTTCCCTCTAAACTTAATGGGTTGAACCTTTAACCCCCAATCGGATGGTATTTATAGGTGGTGATCTTGGGAAGTTATTAGGCTTAGATTAGAATTTGAGGGTGGAACTATCCTGATGGGATTAGTGCCCTTAGAAGAAAAGAAGGACAGATTTCTTCCCTCTTCTGTCATTTCCATCTCTTCTTCTCCCCAATCTTCTCTCTCCCTGCCTCCCTATCTCTCATCCTGTTTGAATTCTTAAATATCTACCCTGGAATGAACATGGGATAACTCAGGCACATGGCTGCTGTGAAAGTGAGCTTCCCAAGTGACACGCTTTAAATTATTT